CCATTCTAGATACTATCATTCATTCACGCATAGCAATGAAACACGCGAATTTACTACGTGCGTGGACTAGTCTGAGTGTATATGGCAGCACTTTGTGTCCCGTTAAAACGCCGTGTTCCTCTGATATGTTGGCCTAAAGCTTGTGATAGGAACCGTACATGTTCAGTGTATTCCAGTAAGAGCACCGTGTAGTATATCTCTTGCGTTAGTCTGTCAGAAAACTTCAGTATGAATTCCGTATTGCCTCAGTGTCTGAGTCACCAGGTGACGATTGTTCATTAACCCTATCTGATGTTTGTAAGAGTACATAGAGTAGGCCTCCACAATCTACTACAATATACTTCAGTCGTAGTATCACTTGCTCTACCCATTAGATATCTCCCGCCAAGGGCGTGTGTGTGTTAAATGTACCCAGGCATGCACATTGGTTCTGTCTTAAGGTGGCGTGTGTTTGTGTGCGTGTACACAGTTTAAGTGTGCGTACATTTTATTCGGCCAGTAATAGAGTGCGTTTACGTGTGTGTGTGTGTTCACAGTGCATGTATTGGTACATATTCATTCGAGGGTGAGTGCTTGTCTGTGTGCATGGTCGCGTACTGCCATGTCTGTTTGTGCACTATACGCGTGCTCGTCTATATAGACACCCCAGTGCGTTTGGGTCAAGTACAACTACAGCCCCAAGCGTAAGCCGACATCACTCGAGCGGCACCACACTCCATATTAATCTCCACAGGCCATTCCGTACATCCGTTTGAAACACTATACCCTAGATACATATACCTCACACTACCCCTATGACCATGACCATGACTATGACTATATACACACATCACTATCTCCTCTATACCGTATATGATCACATACACCCATATCACTACATGAAACCAATCTTAGCATAACCACAGACCTCGAGCATTTTCCTTCGGAGTGATTTGGTCAGCTGTGAGCATAGGCGTGGAGTTGACTCCTTGTCATTTGCACCAGATGTAGGTTCATTGGCCCCTGTGATATCCACGACGCTGCCATCCGTTGCTATGGCAACCTGGGACGGTTCTGGATCCGGCACCTCGACCGCGTCCAATTCTATCACCTCAGCGGCGGTCATCGTTTCCATAGCAACCCCTCGCTCGGTTATTCGCCCATCTACGCTGACCACGTGCGCGCCCATGCGTCCGTCACCATGGTCCACAGACACAGTGTCGGCTGTGTGGTTGTTTCTCCTGGTGGGTGGGATGTGTGTGGTGTGCACGGGCAGGTGTGTGTGTGGGTGTGGCGGTGGCTGTGGGTGTGCCTGGCTGTGTGCGGGTGGTGCCGTGTGTGTATTGCTCTCCCTCTGTGTGTGCACAGGTGGCTGAGTCTCACTTTGTGTACGTGTATGCCTATCTCTGTGCGAGTAGACGGGCACTTGGGTGTCCACTGGACTATGTGAGACCCCATCTATGTGTGTGTGTACGGTTGCTTGGGTATCCCCGGGCGTATATGTATTTGGCTGTGTGTGTAGCTGTGTGCCTTGTGTGCTGAGTTGTGTGTCTGTGTTAGCGGACGTCTCCTCGCCCACACGGTGTCGTGTGGTGTCCACAGGCAGCACAGCTCCACGCTGCACACAGTCAATAAGCCACTGAGGGAAGGAGAGTCAGAAAGAGAGGGAGAGAATGAGACAGGTAAATATACCGATGGATAAATGGTAGCCATACATATACAGGCATAGACGGCAGGTGCAGACATGCGTAAACAGACACGTATAGTTATGGAGAGGGATAGATAGTCTATCAGCCGCTGCGTGAGTGTGATGGGGAGACTAATACACCGGCCACAGAAGAATAGAGGTGGACATGGACAATTCACTCCACAGTGATATAATTCACTCTTACAGGGCCACCATCCGGTATATATACATTCATAGGCTTACTGTATCAATGTACGCTAGTACAGGGTAACCATCCGGTATATATACATTCATAGGCCTACTGTATCAATGTATGCTACCTGTGCGGTGACGCATTTGATGCCCCATGCCGTGGCTGTCCTGTACTTCTTGTCCTCGGCCCTCTCACACACCAAATGGGACACCTTGCGATACAGATCCGTTGTGTACATACCCCCACAGTACTGCATCAGCGCAGACACGAACTCTCTGCGCGCACGCGTTAGTTGCGAGGCACTGCAGAGCACACCTGCAAACAGTGACACCAGGGCCATTGCCGTCGGAACAGGGGCTAATAAAGGGGTGTACTGGTACGAGTAGTCACACTTAGACGTGGTTGGGATAGGGCTACTGGCCACTGATTGGTGCTGCGCGTGCGTGTCGCTCTGTTTAGGTGGATGATTGGGTGCGGGTGTCATAGCTTCCAGACGGTTGGTGTTCACACACACCTCCAGCCACAACTCGTTAACACACACACACGCGCCGGTGTAGCCTCGCAACATCACATCGGCATGGCTTCGTATGTCCCGTCCGTGTACCGTTGGCAGCAATAGGTACACAGTTGTTGTTTGTTGAGCCGTGTCTGTAAGTTGTGTGGGTACCACATTTATGAGTCTCTGATGCTTGCGTATGCGTCGCAGTATATTTGGTATTGGGTGACTAAGCTTCAATACTGGTGTGCATGTCTTTCCATATGTGGTGTTATATGTATGGTTTCGTATGTATGTCTTTTATGTATGTTTTTCATTGCTTTTCCATGTGTGATGTTGTATGTATAATTTTGTATGCATGTCTTCTATGTATATTTTCATTGTATGTTTTTCCATGTGTGGTGTTGTATATACAACTTTCTATGTATGTCTTCTATATTTTTTTTCATTGCATGTTATCCTATGTGGGTGAAGATGTGCGTATTTTATAATTAGAATGACTGTGCTTTGTGCCGGTGCCCATGCGTATGGCCCGTATGGCTGGTCGCTGTCGAACCCTTCGTGCGTCATTGAGAGTCTTGGCTGTACATAACAAATGTACCAAATTGGATTCATCTTAGAATCTACCTCGCCTTCTCCGAAGAGGGAATGAACTAGTTGCGGGATATTCCAAACCCTAAACCCCAGACCCGTAAGTGTACAAAACCTAGATGAAAACCCAGCGTATTCAGCTTTAGGACATTTGTATTCATACACATATCATATCACTATCCAACGTATCTTGCACGCAAACGACTCACATGCCAATCGTTTGCACTAGCCTTCTCGAACAAACACCAGAAGTAGAAAATCCCGAAACCCTACAACTTGGACTCGAACGGACTCAAACGGACTCAAACAAGATCGAGAATTGTATCTCCCGGTTCTGTAGGGTCACAAGTGTATATCCAGACCCAATACTCAAAACATGGCACAAGCTCTAGTATTCAAAGTAAGACATTTGTTCACACGACTGTGTTGTCAACACTCATGATCATCTTCGTGTACGGATACCACAGATAAGTATACGTTGCGCTTTGGGTATCAAATACATGTACGCATACAAAGACAGATACGAGTTGTAGCTTCGGTTAATTTACGCGTGTGTTACCAACAAACATACAAAGATTCGACTACGCATGTACTGGTAAATATAGGTTGTGCTATAAGCCAATTCACGCGTGTGTTGTTCACACGCCAAGTCAGATTCCCGTACACCTACTCAGACAACACAACCCGTACCCACAGCCAACCTCACCTGTAAGTACATCCGCGGACTTCCGTTCACACACCCCCAGGTAACGCGTTAAATCGCCCTGAGCCTGTGTGCCCAGGTACACATCCCCCCCTCTCTCCTCAATCGACTCCACAATGAGCTCGGTCTCGCCCGAATGGAACCCGGGAGGCAGAACCACCACACTACCCGCAAACATCTGTACAATGTCTTCAGCGCTGCTGTCACTGTCAGAGCCCTCGTTGGAGTGAAGGGAGTGCGTCTGCGTATCCGTGCCTCGAGTAGTATTGGCCTTGGCACTGGCAGTCTCCTCCCTTGGGGAGTGGTGACCGTTTACCTGACCAGGTTTATCTGAGCTGCCAGAGTCCGTGGACTTATCGTTGCCATGGTTACCGCTGTGGCTGCGAGTGGTGTGATCGCATCCACCGTGTATGGTTGTGCTGTCACCACCCGTCAGAGGTACCTCCACCTCACCGGTAACACCCACGCCACGTTTGCCGTCCCTATTGTTGTAGCCGTGTGTGCCGCTGGCGTTGGCACTCTTACTAAATATGTTATTGCTATAGCTGTCTCTAGAAGCAGCTGACTTGGTGGTATCAGCAGCTGCGCTATTCTTACCAATAGTTTGGTTGTGGGTTGGGTTATTACTAAAGGTTTGGTTGCGGGTTGGGTTCGTGTCCTGGGTTTGTGCTTTGTTCCGTGGATCCCTATCGCCACTGTAGCCGTCATCTTGCGCCTCACCTTTCACCGCAGTCGGCTCATCTTCTCCCACAAGGTCTTCGACTTTAATCGCAGCCTTTTCACTTTTAACCGCTTTAACCGCAGGGCCCTCGTCTCTACTTCTCCTACTTCCTCCCACCCCAGCAGCCCGCCTAGTGTTCTCGAGTTCTTCATCCATTCCTGGATAATTGTCCTCCACATCCGTTCCCTCCCTCGGAAATACTTCTTCCCAATTTTCCAAGTTTCTGACCGACTGCTTATCCGCGATATCTACAGCCAGTGTGTATTCACTCGCCACGCTTCCCCGCTCGCCATATGCAACACCGCGTCGCATATTCCCCACCACACCCTCGCGCATATACACCTCATATCTCTCCTCTGCCAGCAGCCTCTGCCGTGTACACGAGTCCAGCAGCCAATCCAGGGACACCATCTTGAACCCTAACAAGCCTCCCGTCGCAGCACATCTGCGTGTCTGTGCGAGTATCTCTGTCAGTTGGGCGTGTGTGTGGTCGTGGTCGTGTTGTGTGCCTTCTCTGAAGTCGCCCGCTACTATCACGTGCGTTACTGTGCGGTTGAGTGATACGAACCGCGACGCTCCCATGCGACTCAGGCACTGGCGGATGAGACTGCGGCTGGACGATCTGAGAGGGTGTGTGTGGTATGGGGGATAGGGTAGATATGATATAGGTAAGTAGATTAAATGTACATAGAATACATACTTGCTGGTTTATGAATATCGATATGGGTTGTGACTTTATAACGACACGGGAGACATAGCATACGCACTGGCTGCTTGTAGGGTGTTGATAGCTATTGCAGCCTTATTAAGAGGCAGACGAATAAATATAGCATACATACTTGCTACTAATAGAATATCAATCAACTCGGACACCCTATAAAAACGCAGATATATAAACTAGAATACATGCTTACTGCTTATAGGATATGCATTAATCCTAGCCTTATGAAGATACACAGAGATATAATAGCACACATACTTGCTGGATAGTCCGATGAGGAACACAGCACAATGACTCATGAGCCCGTCATGGCCCACCGTCCCCGCATCATCTCCCATCAAACCCTCTCTGCTCTTCGACGCCGCGGTTGCCACGGCAACGGCTTTCTGTAGCGCCTTCTGATTGGCCAAGACACTCAGCAATGCCACAGACAATCGAACATTTAAAGGTGACGGCGTGGTTGGAGTGCTCGACATAAGGGGTCCGTTCCAGTTGGGCTGGTTCCCTGGTTGTGCGGTTGTTGCACACGTTGAAGTGTGTGTATTATCCCTGTGTGTCTCCGATTGACTTGCTTGATGTGCTGAGTTGTGCCTGCTGTCTGCCTGTGCCTCGGTGTGTGCTGCTTCGTGCGTGGCTATGTATGTAGTCGGTCCGTTCGACTTGGCTCTAGCTGAATGGGCCATTTTCCCTGTCGTCGCGTGCTTACCTACAGCAGTGTGTGTGTGCGTGCGTGTGTTCTTCTGCCTCTCAGAAGCGTTGATAACTATCTCCCGTGAGCTGTCTTCTGTACGTGTTCGTGTGCGTTTACTAGCCCGTGCAGACGCTTCAGTCACCCCGTTTGTCGGTTGACTTGGTACCACTGTATCCGCATACTCATCATACGCCTCCAGATACGCGCCCATATCCATCTTCAACCCTGGCATATCGGCAGACATACCCTTGGTTTCCAGGGTTTTAGGGTTCTGTTCCACTTTCACACGAACGCGGGCTTTCTCCTTCTCCTGCGCTCGTTCCCTTTCGCGCGCCACATCCCGCTGTCTGCTCATCTCCACATTTCTCTGTATGTACTGTTGCTTCTCTCTATCTCGCCTTGCCTCTCGCACATGTTCTGAAGGCTCCCTATACCTCCTGTCCCCGTTTGTTTCTTTAGTTACCGTGTCCTTGTACCTACTACGAATGGGCCCCATGTCCGTGTCATGGGTGTGTTCATCTATACTTAAAAGCTTCCCATCCTTGTCTCTCCGTACTACTGGTTTGACGTCTTTGGTACTGTTCCTGACACCATCGCTCACATCACTGCCATCATCTACAGACGTACATTTTCTTTCCCGCGTACATTTACCTGGAGCCGCAAGGGTGCTAGCTGCACTGTGGTTAGCAGATAAAAGAGCGCTATCTCCCTGCAATGAGTCGCAGATCACCAAATTGCCCCGATCTGAATTTTTGGACTCAGTTAGTCCCGATTTTGCGTATCCTGCGGTACCTTCCTTTCGGGTTTTTATCTTGATGAGCTGGTCTTTGCCATCGACTTTGATGATAAACTGACCCGTTTTCCCCGCCACCTTAAATGAGACGAAAGACGAAGAAAAGTGATCTGATCTCTTGATAGCTAGTGCAGTAATGCAGGGAGTGGATGGAACGCCAGAAAGTTCAATTATATATATATATATATATATATATATATATATAC